CGTTCTAGTTTTCCTTTTTTCAGCCTTAAGTGGACTATGGAGTATGGACCCTACTGTTTGAAATTAGTAATTCTCCTTTAACGTCTCAGTTTCTTTTCCTTTTGTCTATCTCTGTTTATGAAAATGGTGTTTTCCATATTTCTATCTGATAAATGATAACTTAAAATATTTCCTATTTTTAGAGCATAAAAGCAATTTTCCACGGCGATTATGTAACGTGGGACCTCAGTAGATGATGTATTTGCTTGTAATAAAGGGTACGTATTGCAGTTAGACATAACAAAACAAGGTGTTTGTTGAAGTTGAAGAGGTTGGTGATGTATATGATCTCAACTACTGCTCTGTTTGGTGATGCATCACAGTCAATCTTTGTTTGGCTCCGTTAAAGCTCTTCAATTTCATCTAATTTGTTTGCTACTGTAGAACAATAACATCACTAAATGTGTATCTACACTCTATAAACGGTTAAAGCCCTTTCACAAGACATTGCAAGAGCGACATTGCAAGAGCAGCATGAGTGCATGACACTAGTCCCACCATGAATTAATATCAAAAACATAATATCAAATAATGTATGCTTTGAAGCAAGGTAGATAAACATACGCAAGCTACTCGATAAGTTCCATCATGAAAAAGAATGGAGAACAATGGGTATGGTAACAGGCCNCAAAAAAAAAAAAAATAAAAAAAATGCAAAGTATGTAAAGAAGTGTACACAATTTGCAGAGAAAATGTTTTCCAGCCTGTTCAACCATACTTATACTATAGATGTGATCTGAAAATTAAACCTTCACCAAGAAAAATAGAAATTTGTTGTTGGGCCGGTTCATGTTGCCTGAACTTGAATCGGCAGTTCAAAAAATTATTTACTTGAACCTGCATCAGCCCGAATAAATTTACGCGCCAGTTCAAGGCACATGGTCAACGAGTTTGATTAGTTCGGTTCCAAATCTGATTTGACGGAGATGGGCTAGAAATATTGTAGAAGAGTCAAACTCGAGTTTAACAAATCGAACTATAAAATAGTTAGTTAAAAACCATGTTTTTAAACTTTAACAAGTATTATCGAAGTGAGTCGGGCCTGATTCATAATTAAACGAGCTTTTAGACGAGTTCAAGTTTCCATTTTGTTTATCAAACGAGTCGAATCTAGTTTACAGGGGGCTCGTTTCATTTAATAGTTATAATTTATTTTTGGTGTCGTAATAATTCAAGATTATTTAGTGAAGTATGCTTATTATTTTAGATCGAGTAACCTTTGATTTAGATTTAGCATAGAAGAAAATTTGTGTCCATGAGGTGACAAAAGCATCCCACATCGGTTTCTAAGAAGTGGCATAAATTAGATGGGTGAGTATAAACACAGTGTAGAGTGGGAACTTGAAAACTAAAAGGGTCGGCTGGCTAAATATGCCACGTTGGCCCTAGTTAGGCTAGCGCTGTATGGCAATCAAGACATATGGCCGACATAATTTTTGGGACTCCATAGGGTTGGCTCGCTTGGCCGACCCTCCAATTTTTTTAATAAAAAAAATATTAAATCATCTAGGAAATTTAATAATATAGCTTCCCATATAATTAATTTTACTTGCCTGCTAAATTTATGCTTACATAGGTAATATAAAATTTTGTGTATCAATTTTTTTATACTTTTTAACACTTGTAGGAAATATGTATCTTGTAAGTAGAATCATTCATAAGTCGTATAAATTTACAGTGAATCCTGTACAAGGTTTTGAACATGGGAAATCATAAATTGTTCAAATCCAAGAAATTCTGAAAATTGTTTCTGCATACTATATTCACGCCTAAATCAAGAAGGGACAAAAAAAAATCACGGTTGAATGGCGATGGCTTTACAGAGCGGGCAGCGATTGTTGCGCACGAGCCATGCAGCCAATGTGATAGTCAGTTGAGCCTCGCGACGACAACAATGACAGTTTTGCCCTCGCCTTTTTGGCCAAACAAACCATATGGCACACACTCGATCAGCATCACCATCACCATCACGAACTGATCTGGTTTTGAGAAGGGTAGCGACTGTTTCTTCTGAAACCCCACCGCTACTAACATTCCCAACGACTCCCACCTCGCTTTGTCTGGACAGCAGTAGTACCAAGTGGCAGGCCAAAGTCAAAGTCAAAGTCAAAGTCAAACCACGGAACATGAGAGTTTTGGTTCAACTACGTAGTTGAGGCCACTGTAATTAAGAGTGGTCCTAGTACTCGTACTAAGATAGGATTACGAAAATACAAAATATACATATTTTACTAAGAAATATGATTATACCGATATTATTGTTGAAATATTTATGTGGAAAACCCCGGAAATTCAACAATCTTCAAAATTTTACACAGATCCACCAAGAGAAAAATAAAATAAAATACAAGCCTTTCAATTCCAAAATCATTCCAATAGCTCAAGTGCAAGAAAAATATGGACTCTTTCTTTGGTTACTTAAAACTCTCCACAGCAAAGAATACTATAACCCTTTGTTGTTTGGCTGCAGAATTATATTGTTTATATACACCACAGTCTTTGTTTGGCTGTTTCTATATCAAAAAAGGGTGATGATTGGGCCATGGACCACAACATCCATCAGCCCATGTGATCTGATCGGATTACGAAACTCAGAAGCCCCATACCAAAGCCCACAATAGCTGTCCACCAACTGCAAGACATAACACAGTACCATTTCACCCAGAAAGTGATCCATTACTGCTTATCTTGAGACGAGCAAGCATAGTCTCATTACTAGCAGCTTTCGTCCGGGCTATTTCTTCCAAACGTCTCCATATTGCCATGCGTTTCGTGTTATTTTCTTCTTCTTGGGCCTCGTCCTCTTGGAATTTGAGTAAGCACTCCTCAAACAGCTCAGGGTCAATATCGGAAAAGATTTTGCGGACGTTTAGCGTGAGGCTTTGTACTGCCTGATTCCAGTGTTTTCTTGAATTTTTCTCCAGTGCAGGGAAGATGATTGGGAGTATAACTTTACGGTTTTGTTTGATCATGTTCTCGATATGATCATTGTTCCATAGGAAGAGAGCCCGTTCTGCCACCTGTTGTTAGGAAAAAAAGGAATTAGATTATAAAATGCAAAAGAGCAATTAATGATTTCCAAATAAATGAATGATCACAAAGGAGTGAAAGAAGATTATCTGTATAATCATCGAAATCAGGGTAATTTTGAAGGATACAATCAAAGAGCTAAAAACAAAGGATAGACTGGAATACTCGAAATATTAGATTGGTCAAGTCATTTTTTTTTTTTTTTTGTTTGTGAAAAATAAGGAACCAAACAGGAAGAATTTTGATAGCTTCTTGGATAATAACAGATGATAAAGCGCAAACTACCTGGCTAAAATCAACTAGATTCAATTATTCCTCCATTTTCAGTTTTGACTATACAACTTGGATAAATCCTAAGGATTTAAGTCAGCTGGCATATGATTATGACTATCCAAATCCAGGAAAGAGAGTTGTAAATCTAAAGGTAGCACTAACAAAGGTATATTCAAAATTGACTTTACAACATGGCATGCGCAAGAACATGCAAATGTCAGTTTCTTTAAAGTATTTAAGAGATTAGAAAAAAAAAAAAAACAATTATTAAAGCAGCTCTTCTTTCATGCTCTTTAGAAAAACTTGTGCATATTTCTCCAGTCATGAATTGTTGTCCACACATGCTCGATTTCGTCGCGAGGAGAATCTTCCACTATTCAAACTTAACATCTAAATGTCTCTGCACCACTTTTTGAAGAAGAAGAAAGAAATACAGGGCTATATACAAGAAGTGAGTTAAGAAAGTTGAAAAAGAACAACCTTCATATCAGATACCAGTCAAACATGCAAGCAAAAGAAATCACATTTCAGGCTCACCCCAGAATAAATAAATAAATAAATAATGAGCTAGTTGTCAGCTGATATTAAAATTTTTAGTATAATACGTTGTATTTGTTTTCACTTGACAATAAGTGACTAAAAATGAAAATGGTGCAAGAAGTAAATAATCGGATAACTTGCGGGGTAAAGAAAAG